ACATTCTCAAATTTGACATTTTACATTTATTGATAGGCACGTGACATGAAACATTGAAACAACAAATTTAGTCACAGAAAACTAAAATTGTACACTGTTGCCAAGTGTGAGGGCTCCTTTTAGAAGGAATACTCAAGGCAGGTCTATAAAACAAGTTCAACGTCAAGTGCCGAGGAGTCCTCAAGGAATCCTCAGATAAGGAAGACTTGAGGAGTATTTGAGGAAACGACTATAAATTCGGGCTTAGGTCGGTGCACTCAGGAGGCATGGAGTCCCTATTAGAATTCAGCTGTAAATTGATGCTTTCGCATTTCATATAGCGGCCCAGAGTTCGAAATAGAACTCCCACCGAGGCAAGGCTCCAAGCCTCACTTATTGAGCACGATGTTCCATGAACATTATGGGAATTTTGTTTCGTGCGCTCCAAGAGATGAAAAAAGCCATCAAAGTTTGTGAGTGTGTGGTTCCCTAACCGAGCATTAAGATCCGACTCATGAGGCGTTGCTTCCAGTGCTGGGGCCAACGAGGGAAGGCAATTAAAAAATATAGTAGTATTTATGTAACAGTTGATTCATAAGTAATTCTATCAAAATGTTAGATATTGAATCGTGTATCTCAATTTAGTAATGGTGGAAATAATCCTCCTTGGGATATTAGTAGAAGCTGCCTCTTAACTTTTTCTGAGATTACCCATGTTTATATATGTACCTCCTTGCGTGCATATCATATTCTCATTGTCCTCCCACAATTGGGAGGCTAGCTTCATTTCCACTGGATTTGAGCGATGTGTACAAGTCAAAAATGGTTGAAGGAATCCATAGGCCCCTTTACAGAGGTTGTATTGTATTGTATGCATGATGAGCGACCTTCATTAAGATCTATATTATGCCCTCTTATTTCGACATACCCGATGAGGTTGTTATCCGTGGCAATTTCTCTAGTCCTATATAACTCAGAAATATCCTTTGTCATGTGTGCTCTTAAGGTTACACTTTTCATAAGTATATGTCGAATGAGGTTTTCTCCTCTTCCCCACAGAAGCTGCATTCCTCATTCAACGCAGAGCTGAGTTTCTTAAGATGTACTTTCAACTGGCAATGTACTCATGTTGTTCGATCTCTTGTGTATTTATACCCACTAGTATCTTAGCCTGTATGAGACCTCGAAGATTCTCCCAGATCTCTAATCTCTATTCAGCTTCTCCTTTCTGATTTCTTCTTATACATCAGTATTGCTGCTGACTCGCAGACGAGTTCTGGACCCTCTAAGAGTATTTTATCTCCTTTCCTAGCAAGTTTGTTCCTTTTACTCCGAAATACCCTAGATCCCATGGAAGGGTCTATACGATGTATTTGATGTTGGCTACCACGTACAGGGGTCACACATTGCTTTTCTAGAAACGAAAAGGACATCACTGGATATTTTTGCGGCAAGGACATGAGAGAAAGACATAAATTATTTTCCTCTCTTAATAGCTTACCTCTACATAGCTGAACCACCAGACAGGCACTAACCGTTCGCTAGTCGAGCCAATGACGATAATTTTCATTTTTCATAGGTTTTATACTGCCTAATCTTTGATGAGTTTCTTTTACGAATAGAGATTCCAATTTCTAGATTTGCTCCATCAGTAGAAATATGTCATTCAAGAATATTGATGAACTGATATATAGATGGCCAGAGTTCATCATAGTAGACACTTCAACCATTTCAATAGGTGAGTTATGCCGTTTCTACATTACATTCGGACTAGTAATATACGAGTCAGAAATCTGATAGTGAATCAATTTGGGTTTTATAATGAAGAATATCATTGCGTCTTTTTGTTGTGTTTGTGCATTGTACTTATATTAAGTGCTCTTCCTGAATTAATAATGATAATAATAATAATACGTCTTTATTCACCAAAGTACATACAAACAAGGATCCAAGTGGAGATTAGATATTACAATAATTATTGGTGAAAGGGCGGAGTGTCAGCCTAAGCTGTTTTTAAACTCAACCGTTCATTATAATTTTCGCCAAAAATTTTACAGAAACGCATATATACTGTAAAATTCCTGTTTTGCGATCCATCAGTAATGAACTTCAATCAGTTCTGAATTGTTGTCGGATTGTCCTGAAGCAAGTGGCCTGCTTTTTTCAAATTTCTGAAAAAATGGTATGGTCTAAATAAACAAATTGAAAAATTTGAGGAGTGATTGGACTTGACTTGCATCTCTTACAATGTGTAACTTTTCAAGCAATTTTTCATCAATATAAAATATAGAAAGGACCAAATGAAACGGAAGGAAGTGAACCTATCACTTATATCAACATTGACCTCGTGTCACAGTTGCTCGATCTGGTGGACAATAAAAATATATTAGCTCTCATCATGATGAAGTTCACTAATCTTCGAAAATCTCATTTTACGCTCTTCAAAGAGTGAGGACACGCTTGTCATGTTTTCAAATAGCTGAACAAAACACATGAGACACACATATATTTCATAAGAAATGTACTGTCATTTTATTTACAATCAAATATGATGTCATTACTAATGTCATTGAACGTTGGGAAGTGTCACATCACACACCTCTAGTCACATTACACACCTCTACTTCCCGCCCCCACTTATGTAATATTTTAGGTATGTTCAGGACGAAACAGTGATATCAATTTTGATCGAAATATGATGGTTGTAAATAAAATGGTCTACAAACCTCGGTAGGAACTAGGAAGTTTCATTCCTGTCTCGGGATCATACCTTACCTGGACGGTTTGTGTCTCGGTTAACTAACTAATCTTACGACAGGAATGAATCTCTCCCCACCTCGGTGTATAATGGACTCCTTCATTGGACGACTGCGGACATATTATATCTCAAATCCTGACACTGACTCAACCCCAAAGGCACTTAATATGCATATTTTGTAGTTATATCAATATTATATCATTGAATGTATTTCCTTGAAATGAATATTGAAATTTTATGCTTTAACAAACATCACTCGAATGTCTTCTCGTCTTTGGGTAACTCAAATGATTGGTAAACATCATTCTTAGAATTCTTGCAATTTGTTACCAAACGGAACATTTCTATATTCAATTTCCAGAATTGACGTTTCAAATCTGAGAATGATGACAATTCGAAAATACTTGTTTTGAGTGTGTGTGTGTCACTCTTTGAAAGGCGTAAAATAAGATGTTCGAGGCACTCTAATCTGAGGTGAGTAGTGAAAAAATAATGAGTTTGAATTGAAAGATATTTCTATCTAGAAGGTGGCATTGATTGTAGGGCTTGCAGACGAAGCTTAATTATGAATAAAGTACAAATAATTTTGCTCACTGATAAGATGAGTTTACGCGGACGACTGAACAGTTTTCATTAGCTATATCTAGTCACAGAGTGAACCGACAATCCCTGATTTCGCCGGTGTATTTCATTTTCAAAATGAGCAGAGGCATGGAGAAATGTTGAATAGGTATTTTTGATTTTTCATCATCTTTTATAACTACCAGACTAAATTGCCAATAAACTGAAACTAAATACTGTCTGTAGGTTAATCGATAAGATAAAAATATGCGTATTATTTCAATTTATTTGTAGTGGGACAAATCAGATGATTTGCCCCAAAATGTCACTGCGTTTAACAATTTTTTTATCCTGTAACTCATTTGTAGACTGAAATCATTCATTCATATGCCAACATCAGTATGACACTGAGGAGTGTCAAACTATAAGCAGAGCACAACTTCCAAAGACAAATATTTTGCATTTTTATGTTGAGAACGGGAGCAGATTCGCTCCCAAAAAGTCCAAAGATAAGTAAAAATTCGATATTTTTTTAATACAGTGTGACCCATTTAAGATGGAAGCACCCTTATAAAACTTACATTTTTCAACCGATTGGAATGATTTTTTTTTGTTAGGTAGATATTCAAAAAGTCCATTAGGACACCAAATATCATGAATAAATCTCCATTTCCAGGGCCAACTAATCTGATTTTTCAAGGACAAAAATCCAAAAAAATTACTAGCGATTTTTTTAGAAAACACATTTTCAAATGGGTAACATGTTAATTACGTTGAAATGCGTCAATCAATAAAAAAGTAATAAAGGAATGAAATTTGAAAAATATGCCGTTTAATCAACCCACCAATTCATGTTCAGGAATTTTATGAAAATTCTGTATACTCCACTGGATTCAGGATGTCTAGAAATATTACTGATCACAGTTTCATCGAAATCTGTTCAGTAATAAAAATTGATGGGTTGATTAAACGGCATATTTTTCAAATTTCATTCCTTTATAACTTTTTTATTGATTGACGCATTTCAACGTAATTTACATGTTACCCATTTGAGAATGTCACAAATCCAGTGGTGTAGTTAGATTTTTTCTAAAAAAATCGCTAGTAATTTTTTTAGATTTTTGACCTTGAAAAATCAGATTAGTTGGCCCTGGAAATGGAGATTTATTCATGATATTTGGTGTCCTAATAGACTTTTTGAATATTTACCTAACAAAAAAAAAATCATTTCAATCGGTTGAAAAATGTAAGTTTTATAAGGGTGCTTCCATCTTAAATGGGTCACACTGTATATCTATATTTCTTCTCTTCGAATATTTTTTTCAAACAAATTGTCAGTGACAAGCTACTGGATCCTTCTTTCAGGTTCCCTGATGGAAAAATTCGTCAAACGCAGTGACATTTTGGGGCAAATCATCTGATTCATTGTCCCACTACAAATTTATTGAAATAAAATGCATATTTTTATTTTATAGAAACGAGGAGAAAAAATCCCAAAAAATCAAGCTGAATAAACTGAAACAATTTTCAGCGGTTTTTTCAGTATATGATTCATGATCACAAAAACAGTGGACAAATTTCCAAAATTCATGGCCGCAACGATCTTCCCGCTCGCTCAAGCCGCTATAGATTTTTGCGCCATTCCATCCGCAACAACCGGCAACACCGCCGATCGCGATCAGCCCGCTCTAACCGGCAGTATCGCGTTGATAGTGTCCCGGAACACGCGGTCCTGAGAGTCGATACTCTAACCGGCCTCATATCACCCTTAGTGTAGTCGTAGTGGAGCAGAAATAGAGCCGTTCGAGTGCGTCATGGAACAACAGAATCAAGAAATGGTCGTCACAGGCAGTCCTGCAGAGGTCCCCAACGATCCGGGGTAGGTGTTCCACCCCCTCGGTCGTGATACGCCTCACGCACATGTCAAAACACATGTGATCCCCCCACTCCCTGATTCTTCCCATCGATGCTCAATCTTATCGTTTGTTTCAGAAAAATGTTCATCGGAGGATTGAGCTGGCAAACTAGTCCAGGTAAGATCGGTGTTGTCACAGTGTTTTGGACCGTGCGAGGTGTAAATAGTGTAGTGATAAGACCAGAACTTTATTGAGCCTTTCCTGTGTGTCTACAGCCTAGCTCTAATACCATTATCTGAACTGTCTGAAGGTTAAAATCCAGCCGGCCGGCAAATAGCTGTCTTCAATGTTGCAACCTCACTCAGGAATGAACGTTTCTATCTGATAATGTATCAGTATTTTAACAATCACGTGTCTGTTATTTGTTATTGATGTTCATAAACTCAAAAACAAACATTAGTCGATTCTTATCGGGATATTTCCTTAAAAAGATGCATCGCCTTGTTTTGATTACATCTCAAAGTTCATTATTCGAATTTTGTGGATATTTCTCCTAGGAGCATGCGCGTACTCTCAACGTCGTAGGCAAAGGGCTGTTTAAGTTTGGGTGCCAAAATCCAACGGTAGATGTCTCCATGGGTGGTCTACCCGAAAATCCATTTCATTTCAACTAATACCTACTTACATCATAACCTTGGTGAGAATTCAATGAAAGAATAAATAGACAATTGAAATCAACCTCTCACGTGAGAGTGTATTTATGTTTTCTTTCGAATTACCTACAAACAATTTCTGTTTGTTTAGTTAGCGAAGTGTCTGTAGCTATAGTGGAACAAGTGTTTTATTTACTTTGACACCTCCATTAATAAAGTGAGGCGATTATTAGCAGATACATCATTCGAATTCCTTGTAAAAACAAATCGCTTGACTGTTCAAATTTTCTTGTTCTTCGTTTATAATTATTACCCCAACACTTTTCATGACGAGTTTCAACTATATACTGTTGATTTAATATCTCAATAGGTGTTTTGAGAAAGAGAGAAACTGTATAACAGTTCCCTACTTGATTCATATTTCATTTAACACTTTGCATATTTGGAAATAACACCTCTGCTATAGATATTGTAGATTACAATTCTTCTCAATTGTTTATTTTATTTTAATCTCCAAAGTTCAATGTATTACATTATTGTTTCAATCTAAACATCAATGGTTATATATTTTTATCGTATACGCTTTGCTTTTTCGGTTCAACGAGGAAATGTATAGATATACAAAGAATATGCCTCTCATAAACGTTCCTAAATCCCTTCTTGTTTGAATAACGTTGAAAAAATATTTGGATACAGTTTATCGGTTGAAAGTTTCACAAGTCGGTACGAAAAACGGATTTTGAGTTTACCATAAAGATAAATATGTTGTTATTGCTATAGGAATATTTATTTATCCTATCACATAATTTAGCAGATATCATTTCCGTGCATATTACAAAATTATTATTCATCCAACAGTTTTTGATAATATCAAGATTATGGATCCAGACATACACAAATGAGGAGTTTTATGTTCATTTATCAGATACACCGTACACTTCCTTTGCTCTGATACCAGAGCTCCTCAGTGGTACTTATGATCTCTGACAAATAATGTACCAAGTACTATACTGACGTGCTCTGGTAGGTGATATCTCTAACAGATTAACATATCCATATTGTGTAGATTCTATTCTTGTGTTATAGTAGGTACTATTTATAACTACTACTTAAGGTAGTACGCGAGTCTCTGATGCATTGTATGTTGCATCACAACTGTGGTACTGTGTACCCACTAATCACCTCAGATGATTGGAATATCGCATTATCTTCACCTAGATGAATGTGACTTTTAAACATTTTGTCATCCTACTAGATTCAGTAAAGAAGCTTGCCGAAATATCATGAAATTCAAATGGAATCTAGATGGAGAATGACAAGAAATAGAAAGATAATCACTCCCATAGGTGTAACAATCCATCACAGTTATCGAAAATCGACGTTTCAAACATTACATTACCTACCGGTTTAATAATAGTTCATCTCGTAGTTCATCTAGTTTTCCATGTATCTACGTGGACGAGATATAATGGTCGAGATAGTTATACTTGAAATACCTCGTGGAATACATAGGAGAAACTTCTGTATACATCACATAAATTGTAGGATACGACTTGATTCGTCCTAGTACGTCGTGACAAGATATTTAATCTCAGTGTACATCTCGTTCATACTCTCAGATATAGCTCCACCATCATGAGAAAATGTTCTGGATGCAAGCAAATTCGACAAACAATACATTTGTCAGTTGTACGATGAATTGATGTTCATCTACAGGGTGTGGGGAAATTTTGAATTGAGAAAACCCAATCACGAATCTGTAAAAGCAAATTTCCATCGTCCAAGTATGAATGTTTTGGAACAGAATATTATCAGATATTGAATGAACATGAAAGAAGAATGGAAAAATTTACTTCTTTATGGGTTTCTATTATTTTTTCATGTTCATAATATATCTGAGAATATTCCTTTTGAAAGCATACAATATGTTGTTTGTTATTCGAAAAGTTAATGATCTTCTTACATCATCACCGAGATGTAATGTACACCACAGCAACTAAACTAGCGCTACGTAACCTTCGCAGCTAATTATGATTTTTCCATTTGAATACAAGGTTGGTATATACCGCAAAATTGACTTGCTTTCATGCTGTTATGATGGAAAAGGATGATTTTCATTTGACTGTAAACAATGGAAGGACTCAAATAAATGTCTCGATTTCATATTTTATATATTTTATTTCGATTTCAACTCCTTACGACGTTGAGTTGTTGAATGCTTTTAGTTTTCGCGATTAGTTGCTGAAATTTCCTTAGAAATCCAGTATGGCTCAGGTTCAAAACTATTCATATTATGAGTAGGTCGACACAGCGTGTGACCTTATGAATACCACAGTAGTATAACGTAGGATCCCTACGCTCGATATTTAAGGACATGTGTTCATTCGTCCATGTGGCCTATGAAAGCTCCCAGTAGGCTACAAAGAAGATGACAAACATGATAGATAATTAATTATTGTTATTCTGATGGTAGAATACAGAAATTAACCCTCGTGGCAGTCGTGGCTCGTTAAATGAAAAATGATGAAAGTTTCTAGGTATACTCTGCGTTTTAATTGAACATTCCATTTTTTCTTTGACATTTTTACCTGAAATGGTCTTTGATATGTGGATAACAATAGATCACATGTTACATAACAAAGGGTTCATGAAAAAGATGTGAATTCTCTTTCACTGTGGATACAAATAATTCAGCGACTTTTGAAATTGTATATGATAGAGATACCTAAAAAATATCGTTGGAGTTCTACACTTCGATTCGAAAACTGCCTTATGCTTATATATTATCGAGTATATTATCATTACTTCATCGGCAGTGAATTTTATATTTCCATCCGATCATGAAGTCCCCATCAATTTATCTGCTAACACCTGATAGTTTCGTGCTAGAGTACAAACATTTGTATCATGCATACTGTAGGCCAGGTATCAGACAAGATGGATATACCTACCGTGTGATTTATAGCTTGATAGGAACTATACTGAGACTCTTGGAAATCCATATACCATCTGCACATACAGGTCGATATGTGTTGCAATAAATTTCCGACAAAACAGACATCGACCACTCTTCACTTCTCAATAGAGACACATAGGATTAGCTTGTCCAGAATGAAACAATAACGAAAATAATATTATTGTTGTTGGATTTTGAGGATAAGGTACATGGATGGAAGAAAACAATAGCAACAATATGTTTGGACTGGAAAAAACATAAACTTACTTGATGTTGATCAACTGCGTGATCTAGTAGTTTCACTTTTGGTACAATACAAAAAACCTCTGGAGCACTAATGCCACGACTTATGCCATAATTATGTTTTGTTCTATTACAGATACCTGAAATAAGAAAGCTCACGATTGATTCAGACGAAACAAACCAGAGAATGGGCTACATATGAAAGTTACCGAAAATTATAGAATAATAGAGGTATCAATAAGGACAGTTCTTATTCATATTTTCATCACTAGGAATTCTGTCTCGCAACAGCGACGTAATTTTCAGAGGCATTTTCTTTGTGTACATGGTCTTCTAAGAGTTTCTATAGATCAGCAGAATCCTGCTATCAAAACATGAGACACCTGTATAAATACCTCGCCTGAAATAGAAAAATCTATATCATCAGCACAATTATTTATTGAGATATTTTAGACCTAAGTATATATAGGTTGTTATATTCGTTGTATATTCTATTCATTTTGCATATTACTATGTCATTGATGTGACAATTTGTATCAATTTCAAACACGGTTACAAATCGATTTGGCGACCCTGACGTGATATAACAGCTTGATGAAGACCATAATTACAATGTTATTCTATGATATGTTACCGGGTACATATTCCAACATCTCTAGTCGATGAATTGCCTGCGTTTTTGATGCGTCCCAACAAACATTCATTTGCGGTAAAATGAAGGCTCAATATATTGCTCCCATACCTAGATGTTGTGGCGAAATAACTAGCGTTGGTATGGGGTCATTAAGAAGAGGACACTCTTTCTTCACTGTCAATCAGCCGGCATTCATTCAATTGAGGGGCATTCAAATCTACATACTGGCATAGGAAAGAAGTATGAAAAATTCCTGATGCGTTTTTGATCAAAATCTGTTTCATAATGCAATTCCTTTCCTTGTGAAAATGAACAATATTGATGACATAGGTAGCAAATTTCAATTCGTGTATCGTTATATTCATACAAACAATTCAAAGGCTAATGTAATGAATCGATTTGAATTATATAATCCACAATTTATTGAACAGTAAGCTCATTCTTCGACTCATTTGAGAATCCCTAGCTGAAATAACACTCCCATGTATTTTAGGCGCTCGAAATTTTTTTTCAAGTTCTAGTTCCCACGAAAAGGGATATCTTGTAATGTTCAGAGGACATCGTGAGAAGTCTTTGGAAAGAGATGTTCTGCAGGTCTACAAAGTAACCACGAAGGGGTGCGAAGCCTCAACTCGACGGGTTAATCTCGCGGGGACTGCCAAGGGAGAAACAATTGTTGATATTTCAGAAGAGCATGGTCCATGGAAATATCTATAAAATAGAGCCAGATCGCCAACTTTTCTACGGCGTTCCAGAGAAGTGAGTGAGTGTGAGCGAGGCATCACCCACGAGACGAATTGCCCTTTTTTTGGACAGAATTCAACAGTTTCAGGGTATGTTTGGGTGCTGCACTCCAAATATAAGATCAGTATTACAGGGTAGGTAAGATCTGTGCCTTATAGATCTTAAGCAGCTCACTGGAAGTGAAATAGTTTCTGGCCCGAAACAGAAAACCAAGTTTTTGGGATGCGCTTTTAGCAATTGATCTCACGTGATATTCCCAAGGAAGATTATTGCTGATAGTAATACCAAGCATCGAAATGAATGTCTTCAAAGGTATGGTTACTCCTGACAAGCTTATGTTGGGCACAGTGAGATCGGCTTTTC